TATAGTTTATTATAGTTTAATTACTTATAATATAACTTATAATATATAATATAGTTTATTATAATATAAGTAATATAACTTATAATATAGTTTATTGATTATTTTGTAAAATTATTAATATACAGCGTAATATATTGTAGATGTCGGTCGAAGATTTTGGAGGAGACGGTCTTGATTACCGACCTTGTTTCACAACAACTAATCTATTTGATAGTGTTGACGAAGCTGTTGAATGGGCAAAAGATATTGCAATCATATGGGGTTTCACATTGATCATCTCGAGACACGAAAAAGAAGGAAAGAATAGGTTGTTGAGGTGTGATCGGGGGGAACGTTACAGTGTAGGAAAGGTAGTTAATGCTATTACGAGAAAATCGAAAACTAAATCGACCAACTGCCTTTTTCAGTTAAGAGTCAAATTTGATTCTCAATCAAAAAAATGGTATATCTCGGTTCCTTTAGATGATGAGAAGGGATTTCATAATCATGCGTTGGCTGTTAATCCCGAGGGTCATCGACAGATGAGCGGGTTTAGCGGTCCGTCCAAAAAGATTGTCCGTGATATGACTTCTGCTCAGGCAAGACCGGCATCAATTTTGGCTGCGATTCAGGAGCAAAACCCTGTAGACAACGCTACTTGTAAACAAGTGTACAACTATAGATCTAAAGTGCGGAAAGATGATCTGCAGGGTAGAAATGTGGCTGCCCAACTTCTGAATTTGGCTAAGGCAACAACTATATATATTACGTAGATGTTGATCCGGACACACAGGCATTGACACGTGTCTTCATGTCGCATCCTCAATCAGCCTGTCTGTTCCGGACATATTACTGGTATGTCGGTACATATTAATGCGAATATTGTTAGTATGTTTGAATAGGTGTTCGCCTATATTTTTAAAGCTCGACCGCAAGTGTACGGCTTCGCTCGTAGTATGTGGCAAGCAAGGTCGTATCCCAAGAGACCAAATAATTATTGTACCAATTACTAGATTATGATAGTGTCAGTTTTATTTAGACGTCCAAATATGAGATGGATTACTAAACTAAGAAAATAAATCAAAGGAAATAAAGCAACAAGAGGAAACTAGCTAGAAAAACACGTAAGAAGATGTATGAGAACGATAGATTCTAAGACTTTGGTTTCAATTAATAGTTGGGTTTCTTCAAAAGTATCACAACCAATGTTTTCTTTATCTACCCTATAAGACGATCACAACTTTAGCTTATTGTCCCTCTCGAGATCAATAAAACCGTAGATTAAATCATATATATTAGCGTCTCCACTCAACACATGCAATTCAACTCCAAATAGATTAAAAGATCTAATATCCTCACAACAACATACTTATCTCTCGATTCAAGCAAGTAAATTGTGTCAAATATCAAAGACCTAACATTGAACTCATCTCTCGAATTATGAACAATATTGTCAAACATGTAAAAACATTGGCCAAGTGCTAAACATGAATTAAGAGCAAAATATTTGAATAGGGTTCAAAAGAAAACAATCAATTATAATAAATCATCCAAAATCCCAACATATTAATCTACTACCAAGTCTTAGAATCAAATAAACTAGCTACTCATGTTTGAATTCAAATACATAGACATATTAGAAATCAACATGATCAATAAAAGTTCAAAAGGAAAGAAGAAAGAAAAACTAGGAATCTTGTCGATCTTTCAATCTTCTTGATCCCTTTGTGGTTGATCTTCTTTTGCTTCCCAATTGCTTCTCTTGTGTGTTCTAGGGCTCCCCTATGGTGTAATCACGTTCCCCCTCTCAAAATAGGGTAAATATGCCTTTTATAATGTCCAAAACCCTTCTCCTATTCAAAATAGACAAGAAATAAAACGCAGTCCGCACGCGTGACACGGCCATTCTGCCCGTGTCACCGTCCGTGTCGCAGGTCGTGTCACATTCAATGCCTCGGAATGTTCCTGTTATCATGACACGACCTCTGACACGGGCATGGTGCCCGTGTCACCGTCCGTGTCACATCCCAGCACACTCGTTTTTGTCCTTTCACTCATTTCTTCCATTTTTCTCATCCGTGCATTAATCCATCATCATCTCGGGGGTCCTAGGTACTCACCATGCGCCTCCAATAGCCACAAGCTCTACAAATATGTGAAAATATCTACAAAACAAGCACGTGTAATACCTTTCCAACAAATAGAGAATTAAAGCACAAATATGCGATTTGTACACCAATAATGCAATGACTAAGCTCTAAATACTCAATAAATATGGTGTAAAATCACACATGAACAAACCCCCAAACTTAAACCATTGATAGTCCCGATCAATGCATCAAACTCCTACCAACACACAAGGAAAAACAATCACACTCTCAAAGTCAATCATACACATTCTCAATATGCCTCGGGCAAATAACATAACCAAGTTCTGGAATTTTTAAACTTAAAGAATGCTTCAACAAAATCATGGTCAATGCTTTAA